AAATAAAAGTGGCAGCCGTGAGAAAGGACTAGACAAGAGGGAGAGAATAGCGTGCCAGGACTGAATGGGTATATTATCCACTCGAAATGGAGTATCATATTTTCAACACTTTTTTATCCCTTAAAACAAGCCTAAGAGAGGAGAACATTTTTCCATACATTGTCCTCACAGAGCACTGCATGGAAAACGACTGCGACACACCTGATCGTGATTGGTTTTTTTTTCCCTGGCGCAATGGGAGAAACACAACTATTGTCCGCAGACACTCTTCGTGCGAACAACATATGGAAAAATTTTTTCTGAGCTTTCGTCATCTTCTTTTTGCTAGCTCGCACTCAAATGTTGAGATCGAGAGAGAGAGAGAGAGAGAGAGAATGTTATTTTTCCATCCCGCTAGATCCAAAATTATAGATTTAGTAAAATTTGAAATGATTAAATTACAAAAAAAATGATTTACAATATATTTAATAATACAATTAAACCATGTGTGTTCTTTAATAACTTCTGCCCATATTTAATAATCTATTACATTTTTCATAATAATAATAAAAAAATTGATTATCTTATCACACAATAGAAATTAATTACTAAAATTTATTCCCAATTAATAATTAAATTTTCACTAAATTATATTTTTAATTAATTTTTTTAAATTAACTATTTGTTAAATAATTTATTTGTATTAATTAACAATAGAAATTAATTACTAAAATTTATTCCCAATTAACCCAATTAATAATTAAATTTTCACTAAATTATACTTTTAATTAAATTTTTTAAATTAACTATTTGTTAAATAATATATTTGTTTTATTTGTATTAATTAATTGTTAAATAATGACATAAATTTATCTAATTACAACTAATTATGAGTTGTTAATCCAATAAATTAATAAAATTAAGAAACTCTTTGGTACGATATTTACACGAGTTAAAGTTAGATTTAACTTAAATCCAGTCAAACACCATATATTAACATCATAAATTGATTAGATTAATTCGCTCTTAAGTTGAATAAATTTTTAATTCGTTTCGTTTGCTAAATTTAAATTAAATAAATTTACTTATTAGTTGAATTTAATAAATTTATGTCAAACAAAATAATATTTCTAATGAATTTATGACAAACACTTCAAATAGATTTAATTAGATTGAATCTTAATTGATTCAATTATTAATTTGATTTTAATAAATCTGAATTTCGCCCAAAATTAGACCCCAATCCCTTACCAATTTCGCCCAAAACCATCGCCTTCGTGGCCAAACCCTCGCGAGAGCTTGTTGGGAAGCCGGCGACGCGATCACGGAGTACGGGACCACCGAAGCTCCCATCTTATTCCTACTTCCGCTCCGTTCTTACCCGAAACCATTGAAGAAGGTAACTTCAGATCTTCGCCTTTGCGCAAAGCGCGCATTCCTGGATTTAGCCGAACAACGGGATTTGCGATCGAAATACGTGAAATCTTGGCATGCAAATTTGCGGTTTTATATTGTTCAAAGTGATTGTCTGGCAAGATTCAGTTTAAATCCTGGTTAAATCCTGCTCTAAATCCCTTACGAGAGAAAACTTTATTGAGGTGGTGTTGCCCTAGCATGATTCCTGGTTTCCAATGTCGAATGATCCGAATTTTGGCTTTGTTGCCCTGGCTGGCCATCTCTAGAGAGAGAAATTTTAAGGTCTTTTTTCCTTCTTGGACCCAATATTTCATCTGTTGGGCTTGTTTAGCCTCAAGGCTGGCTTACACTCAGGAATGATCCGAATTCGGGCCTGTTTGGTTGCAAGTAGTGTTTTGTTTAGATAGGATTTAGTAAATCCTGTAAATCCGGATTTATGAAATTTCGAAGGGGTTAAATCCTCAAGAATGTTTGGTAGCTGGTTTTAAGCAGGATTTGTACAGGATTTATGCTAAATCCTGCCGAACGGCAGAAAGGACATGGTAAATCTACAGATTCATAAATTCCGTTTTTCCTCTGTTTTGGCTTAAATCCGGGATTTAGTAAATGTGGGGGTTTGCTAGGATTGCCGGGGGATCCTCTCCTCACGCAACTGCATGTTAGGCTGCTGCATTATGGATGGCCGGGGGATTCTTTCTTCAGGCAACCGATGCATGCCACCTATCATTTTCTTTAAGGAAAACATGCATATTCATCACACAATTCTTATGTATTTACATGCAAAAAGAGAGAGAAAGGCATTTAGTGATTTTTCCCATTCCAAAAAATAATGCTGTTTCCTCATTTGCACACAGTTCAAATGTTTTTGCATACAAGAGAGACATATATGCCAGGCAACTGTATCATGGATGGCCGGGGATCCTCTCTCTAAGCAACCAATGGAGCGCCAGCCATAATTTTTTTTAGGGAAATTTACATACATACCACTCAATTCCTATGTATTTACATACAAAAGAAAGAAAGAGAGAGAGAGAGAGGTGAGAGAGATTGAGAAATTTGATGTTAGGTAATTGCATCATGGATGGCCTAGGGATCCTCTGCTCAGGCTGTAGATGCAGCGCCACCCATCCTTTTCTTAAAAATATTACACACATACCACAATTTTTATGTATTTACATATGAGAGAGGGGGAGAGAGAGAGAGATCTGATATTTGCATGAATGGCTAGGGATCCTCTCTTCAGGCAACCAATGCAGTGCCACCCATCGATTTTCTTAGGAATACTTGCATACCTATCACACAATTCTTATGTATTTACGTACATACAACAACAACAACAAGCCTTTATCACGTTAGGTGGGGTTGGTTACATAAGTCCTTTTCCTCCATTGAGTCCTATTGAGCTTCATATTTACATATCATGATTTTTGTCATTTGTCTTGATGAGGCCTCCTAACTAGATTTGATGGTTGTGAATTATGATTGTGCTACTCATAATCATCATTCATAGAGAGACAGAGAGAGATCTTATATTAGGCAACTACATCATAGATTGCAGTTGTATCCTTTCTTCAGACAACTTTTTTTTTGTGTTGCCCATCAATTTTTTTAGGAAATTTACATACATGCCACACTGTTCTTATGTATTTACCTATCAACTTTGCTTATTTTATTATTCTTGATGAGGCATCATAACTAGTTTTGATGGTTGTGAATTGTGATTGGGCTACTCAGTTTGCAAACAGTAAATGCATTTTTCCTATTTTTACTATTTCGAAAGTGTTTTTTTTTTGGCTTTTGGGTGGTTGCGTGTTGCGTATTATGGGAGAGGGTAATTTAGATTAAGACGTATTACAAAGATTTCTCATAATCAATTTGCATGTCTATCATGGAAGCTATATATTTGTTGAGAGGCTTGATGGTAAAGTTTAAAGATAATAAGGAGGATCTACATATGATGTTTATTGATTTAGAAAAGCTTACGATAAAGTTCCAAGAGATATACTTTGGAGAGTTCATGAGAAGAAAGGTGTTGATATGACTTATATTCAAGTCATTAAAGATATGTATACTGGAGTTGTTACTTGTGTTCGAACAGAAGGAGGATTGACCAAATATTTTTCTATTTCTGTTGGATTAGATCAGGGATCGACTTTATGCCCATATATTTTTGCTATAGTTGTGGAGCTTTAGTTATGGATGTTTTCACTAGACATTTACAGGAGGATGTACCTTGGTGTATGTTTTTAGATGATGATATCCTTCTCATGGATAAGACGAGAGAGAAAGCTCAAGAAAAACTTGAATTATGGAGGTCTACATTGGAGTCTAAAGGCCTTCTTTTGAGTAGAACTAAAACTGATTATATGGAATGTAATTTTAGTAGTAGTAGCTCTTGTAACTATGAGTGATCAAATTATTATAAAGTGTGAACGCTTTACATATCAAAGGCATATTGTTCAAAGTGATGGTGATATGGATGAGGATGGTACTAGTAGAATTCATGTTGGTTGGTTGAAGTGGAGGAATGCTTCGGACATATTGTGTGATAGAAAAGTACCGCTTTGATTGAAAGGAAATTTTTATAAGATAGTGGTGACACTTGCATTGCTCTATGGCGCTAAATGTTGGCCTTTAAAAGAGAAGCATAAGAAGCATAAAAAGCATAAAACTAAGTTAAGCGTTGCCGAGATGAGAATGATTAGGTGGATTAGTGGCTTTACACTTAGAGACAAAATGCAAAATGAATATATCCGTGATAGGGTTTGTGTAGCTCTAGTGACGGACAAAATTAGAGAGAATCTTCTTGGTTGGTTTTGTCACATTAAACGTCGACCATCTGATGATCCGATTATGAGAGTAGATTTTTTGTGTTTTGATCAAATAATGTAGACCCCTAAAAGAGACGGTGATGATCAGTTTCCTTTTTGTATGTCATTTTTGAAAGTGTAAATGTGCAAGATGGGCTTAGTATTGTGCATCACAGGCAATATTAGAGAAATATCCTTTATTATGTTTACATTTAGGTGGCAGTTTATCCTGACGGACAAAGTCACATAATCTTTTCCAGCATTTCTCTTGTGTCAGAATTAAACTACATTGTCCTGTTGCCTAAAGAAGCAGACTGCCGAATACATGTTTTCCCTTTTATTTTTTTAATAATTCTTTTTGCAGTTGGTTTTGTGGCCCTGGTATGTATGCATGTATTTTCTTGTTATTTTTTTTTTAACTGACGTGAATTTACAGTTATCAGCTATTTTGATTTTTTAAACCCACTTAGCATATTACGTGGTTCCATAGGTTGACATCCAATTCTCTCAATTTTGTGCACTGTTTCTTTATTATATAGATTATGTTATTCAAGCATTAAAAACATGGCAAGGCTTTGAATTGTCTAGGGGTTATTTCGGATGACTTCTGATATTTTTTTATGTTTTTATTTGAATGAAAATAATATTTAGCTGTTTTTAAAAATGCTCAAAACAAGTTTTAGATGTTTTGAGTGTTTTAAAATTAAACTAATTTGTTTTTTAAAACAAAAACAATATGCAAAAAATTTACTCAACATTATACCATCTTTGGGGTTGCCATTGCGGTGATGATGATTACATTTCTCTATTTTTGATCATTTCTGCATCCTGCTGTTCCATTCCATTACGTTCCATTAAATTATTAACAAGTATAATAATATATTTCTAATCTTGTAGTGGCCATTTGGGACCACTTTTATTATGCAGTTTTTGTTTTTTTTAATTTTATTTGTGTTTTGATTTGAAACAGGATATGTTTGACATATTTGATTAAGATATGATTGCTTTTGAAAACACTCGAAACACACCAAAAATAAGTTATTTTGAGTGTTTTTAAAAACATTCTAATTTGTTTAGAAACACAAAATAAAAATATGTAAGAAAACAAACTAAACAAATATATTTTTAAAAAGAAAAAAAAAGAAAAAAAATTGATTCTAAACAAAATAAAATATTGTTCTAAAAAACAGTTATAATTTTCAAATTTCCACTGTAGTTAAATACTACTCTTTTGGGAAGTATGATACATCACTTAATCTATATTTTAATGATATTATCTTCTTACTGTTCATATTGTGTGATTTTGTGTGGCATCCAAACTGGGTATCCATTTACAAACTGCCATCTTTTGGGCTGTTGATTTGCAAATTCATTCTTTTTTGTGGCAAGGAAGCGTTGGAGCAGACAATGTTTTAATTGGTTGAGTGTATGCTTGTCTGGAAAGTCAGAAAGAATAAATAGAGCCGTGTAAGCGTACAATTTCATTTGATCTATTTCCATATATTTATGCAAACTCAAAGTGAAATCATTGAACCTGATTGGCAACATAAGAATTGCATGTTGAACCTGATTGGCAACATAAGAATTGCATGTTGAACCTGATTGGCAACATAAGAATTGCATGTTGAACCTGATTGGCAACATAAGAATTGCATGTTGAACCTGATTGGCAACATAAGAATTGCATGTTGAACCTGATTGGCAACATAAGAATTGCATGTTGAACCTGATTGGCAACATAAGAATTGCATGTCAATTCAGTTCATTTAACACTTCAAGCATGTTGAAAATACAAAGACAATCTTCATGCTCTTGAGGAAGAGGGAGGGAGGGAGGGAGCGGTCAATATTTGCGACCCAAATTCTATCGGTCTCGCTTGCCTTACTAAGAAATTATGAGCATAAGGATTGAAGATGTTGAGAAATTAGGGCGAAGAAAAACAAGAACGACACAAATCCAGAAGATACAAAAAGATTTAATAAGGTTTGACAAAGATGCTTACGTCATCGAGAGCAGAGCGGCAACTTTTCACTAATTCAGAAAAAGTACAGAATACAGAATAGAGGGATAATCCCTAGGGTTACATACAAACCTAATTTACAATTCTAGAAAACACATAAAATGGAAATCTTGGGTACAATATGTAATTACCAAATTACCCTTGTACCACACC